TCTGCAAGGTTCCAGTGACGGGCGACAGCCTCCTCGGGTGGCGCCTTGGGTGAATGGCTAGGGCTGTCCCATTTTCTCTTTGGGAAATATGGTCACCCTGCAGCTCTCAAATGCCGTGGGAGGAGGACTCTCTCCCCCACCCCACTCCCCAGCTGCCGCAGGCAGCGGGGAACCATTGAGCTGCAGCAGCAAAAGTCACAGACAAGTCACGGCTTCCGTGACTTTTTGTTTATTGCCCGTGACCTGTCCGTGACTTTTACTAAAAATAACCATAACAAAATCTTAGCCTTATTTATAGGCTATACACCTCAACCAGCCAGCCACCTTGAGTTAAGGGAATCACCGTACTCAAGGGTCGCGAATTAGGGACAACAATCAAGTTAACTGCAGAGAAAACAGGCACCAAATAATGCTGCAATTATCAGACCTCAGGGCTGCTCTACGTTATGTGGGAGGCCAGAATTGGGGGGGTGCAAATGTAAAGCACTGTTCCCTGTGCTTTCTATGCTGTATCTCTTAAGAGGTAGGACAGCATTTGTCCTATTGTTTTGAAAAACACCTTTACAAGAACATTCAGGCCAGTAGAACTTTATCACCTGGAAGTTTGTGAAAAGTTAACATATGAGGCAGGAACAATGTTGCAATGATCTATTTCAAATATTCACAGAAATCTTTTTGGACTAATTTGCCCTGCCCTTCTATTGCTACAATAACCTGTACAGAAAATGTGTCTTGAAAACCGGCTAGTAAATTGACTATACATGCCACAATTCTCAACAAATAATAGGAATACTCTTTTTAGATGTACCATAGATCAGTGATTCTCAACCAGGGGTCAGGGGCCATGTGCAGATTTCAGGGGGTCGGCCAAGCATTAGACTCACTAGGGCCCAGGGCAGAAAGCCAAAGTCCTGCTGCATGGCACTGCAGCTTGAGGTACCAAGCCCCAGCACTCGGGGCTGAAACCAAAGCCTGAGCAACTTAGCTTCACAGTGGCCTCTGTGGTGTGGGGCCCCGGGCAATTGCCCTCTTGCTATCCCCTAACACTGGCCCTGGCTTTTATATGCAGAAAAACAATTGTTGTGGCACAGCTGGGCCATGGAGTTTTTTATAGCATGGGGTGGGGAGCCCTCAGAAAGAAAAAGGTTGAGAACTCCTGCCATAGATGATTTAATATTTGCTCCTCTGATAATGAGGTTTTGTTTTGGTTGTGGGCTTTTTTATTTTTACAATTACAAATGTTATTTTGATGTTTGTACATCTTTCCCTTTGTCATTCACTGGACGATTACCATGGACTCCTGAAGGCTGCTGCTAAAATTTATTTCTAGGCCATTCTAACTGACATTCCTAGACATAAATCACAGACTTATTTAATATAAATGGTGGACTACTCTGTTAAAATGACATGTTCAGCTTCTAGAGAGGGATATGAATTATGAAATAATACATACAGTAATTACTCATGCAACCTCCTTGAGCAACTCCAGCACTGCAACAGGAAATTAGAAAAAGCTATAAAATACTGATGAAGGGTTTTATTTTGCTTCTAATCCTGAAAGCTTCTTATCTCCATCTTCCACATTTATTTTTTTAATACACAATACTCCAAAAAAGAGTTTGTCTAACCAAAAAAAATGAAATTTATTAAGTTCCTCTAACCTTTTCACCTCCATCTATATATACACATCTATCTCAAGAGGATTTTCAGTTAGGAAATAAATGCAACAATTTAAGCTGTTAATGTAATGTAATGTGACAGCTTTTAAAATCTGAAATTAGCATTTATCAAAAAAACACTAGAAAAATAGCATAATGTGATCGTTGAACAAGCAATATACACAGTAAACAAGAAAAAGCAAAGCATAAGAAGCTAAACAATGGGAACTTTTGTCTTATTATGTACATAAGAGAAAAATGCAGGAGGTTTTCATGTTTTTGTGGCACCATGCGTGAAGTGAAAAAATAGCTTTGCTTTTAAGAGATTTTAAAGTTAAAATGGGGAGGGGCAACAGTGAGAGAAAGAAAAGGCAAGCAAAACGGAAGACTCAATTGGTTAGGAAGGAAGGAAGGAATCCCTTGCACCTAAGCATGGGCATTGTAGTAGCTTACATATGATGTATAACAGGCTTTAAAAGATTAAACTTGCAGCAAAAAAATGGTCAGTTTGGGATTGGCAGTAGAAATCCCCCTCTAGTGGTTACACTGGGGTTTATAATGAGATGGATCAAATTAAACAGTCATTCTCCCCATTTTTCACTGGAAATTTTCAGAAAGAAAATAATTTTCACTAATATAACAGAAAAATATATTCCAAGACCCTGAATCTCCATTCACACCAGTGTAAATCAGGAGTCATTACAATAAAATCAGTGGAGTTACAACAGTGTAAAAGTTGTGTGAAATCTGGACTTTTATGCCCACTTCAATATTTTTGGTTTCTTGAGTGTTTATTTTTAATTTAACAAATGACCATAGTGTGATAGGTTTTTTTGCTTAATAGTTACCTTCTACAAAGCAACACCATAGGCAAGGTTTATTTTAAACAAAAAATTAAGGTTGTCCTGGGAACCTTAACATTGAATTATTTTAAACGAATTATTGTACTGCCTTATCCTCTCAAAATGCTAGACCGGGGGTCGGCAACCTACGGCACGCAAGCCAATTTTGAGTGGCACACTGCCGAGGTCCCAGCCCCACTCA